TGCCAACACCCTTAGGCCGACTTTAGACTGACGACGGTATACGATCGCACGACAATCGTTGTGGGCGACGGCTGACTTTAGACACATGACCAGAAAGTGTGGCGGACACCCGCAGCGCAGGATGGCACGCCGCGCGCCAATTCAAAATGGCGAGAGAACCCCTTTTTCGGCATGCTGCAGCAGATTGTTTTTATTCTGCTTTTAACTCGTTGTCCTGTTGATGAGACGCCGAGTTTGTGCCCAGCAAAGAAGGGGTATATGGCACATGTACCGAGCGGGGCTATACCCGGGTTTGAACCCGGCGTTCGGTGCTGCCGTCGGCCTGGCTACATTGGCCGGGAAATGTGGATCGGCGGATCGGCTCGTACTAGAGAAGTAGCGATTGGTGGCGGGGGATTGTACTAGACACGTATGACGATATAAAGTCTTTGGTTTGACGACATAAATGATACAGGCGATGTGCTTGGACATGAAATAACGCTTGCAGGCTTATTTGCATAAGGCCAATGACCTCCCACTTCCTTCGCCGGCGACGGTTCACTTTAGACGGTGGAAAATCCTCCTCGGACCCCCCGCTGAAGGATCGCACGATAGGGTCCGAGGTGGTAGTGACGACGATTCGAGGATTACCGTCGTGCGACTATTTTGATCGTGTTTAGACGGTGGTAAAATACCGTCGCCGGCAACATCTTGACGATAAACATTCGTACGACTATTGAACCGTCGTCAGTCTAAAGTGCCCCTTAGATCTATCCCTGCCTCAAAAATAGTCGTTTACGGTTTAGCAATAATATGTAGACGTTGGCAATAAAAAGTATGTACAAAATTATAACACGGAATGAGAAGCTGTAATTAAGTTCTTATAAATGTCAACGTGAACTGTTACAGTAATCAAACACACTGGTCAGTCACTTCCCCAAGTTTTCTCCCAGAATTGGTTAGTGTCCCAACCTACATTTTGTAACTCAAGGCAAAGTGAATTAAATTACATGTATATTGTTGTGCTTGTAATAAAGTTGTATAGAGCAGAATTCCAGGAAAATGAAAGTAAAAGAAGATATTCAATTTGCAAAAGGCAGTTTGTATGTGGAATCCTATTAAATCAATTGAAACAGTAGCAGATAATTTTGCTAAAAGTTGACCCATGACATTGGTGGGGAAGTGTGTGTATTGGAAAACAAGCAACAAGTTTCCCACACACCCATCCCCTGGAGGTTAGTGGTTAATCCCTTACCAATGGATCACCCTGGCTGGTGGTCTTCTCCTGAACAAGAAAGACAGTTTCCAAGAACATTGTCCCATTCACATATCTCTCTATTATCCCCTTTGTATCCATTGTTGAATCCCTTCTCCTATACACAAGGCATACCTCCTGCCAACTTTTTACAGAACAAACCACCCTAAATGGCCAATCACCAAGTTTATTTCTCTTGGGTCTGAAAAAATATGCAACTATTCTCTGTGATTTTCCGAGTCATGCACTGCTTGAGAATTCCCGGATTCCAAAGTCATGCACCACTGGTACTGAATTACTGAATTGACCATCTTCCTTTTTGACAGGCTGCTTATGTCTGCCATCTGCTCTTCTTGGGAAGACAGTCTGTCAGTCTGACACTGTTTACCCAAATCTGGTGCCATGAGATCCGCTTATCAACAGCTATAAACAGTTACCATCCACAGAAAGCATCTTCAGCTTAAAAAGTGCGTCTGTATTTATCTAACAAACCTGGAAAATTATCATAATACAGCATTTAGGCTAGTAACAATAGGTAGTGACTACCTAACAAATGTAAATTTTCTGCTTTCAACAATGGTTCTGTTCCACAGCGACGAAACAATGTTGCTATTACAATGAACAATGGTGAAAAACACTTCCTTTCCATACTTTAAACACTTTGTTATCCAAATATCGAGTAAAAAGGACTACCATAACAACCTGCATTACAACTTTTGTGACCTACACATGCAGAAAAACTTTTTTGTGCATCAGATTATGCAAGGAGTTTTCAATTGACACTACTTGGATTACCTTTGTTCCTACAAAACAAAACTCCTGAAAATCTGGGCTGAGAACAAGGAAGTGGAGTGCCGAAAAAACTAGTTGACATGACCATACGAAAAGAACTGTACATGGTATCCACACTGTTACTGTTTAGGTTCTCAGATCCTGTTGACAACCAGCTAAACAAATGCAGGTACTTGAATAAATAAACAAGAGTACAGCTCAACAGTAAGTACTCCAGCAAATACAGCGTACAATCGGATACTGGGAGCTCTAACCAAGAAGATTTTCGACTATGCTAATACTAGAGATGGATACAAAGGTATTCCCCTTACCAATGGCTTTAGGGATCAAAACGTCAGCGCAGATCAAGTAACCCAAAATTTTCAACTTCATTTTTGGTACCCGAACTACATTGAATTTGAACTCATTTACAGACTGACAAAATGCTAGATTTATTTCAAGCTCATCATTTGCAATGACGAAGAAGTTTGAAATAAATCTATCTATGTCCTCACACTATGAAGAGTTGTCTACATGCCAGTTTGAAATTTCCACATGAAAAGCTTGTGTCTGAAGGCATGGTCTCATTTGCCCATTTCCCCTCTCTGTCTCTGGGAGCAAATTGGAAAAGAATGTCATGGCCCCAAATACAATGGTATGCCACCTCATTAGGTCATTCCTGTTTTATCTGCAGACAATGACAGAGATGTAAACTTCATTAGAACCAATTTCGCGGGAGAACCAAGGATCAGCCTCTTCTTTCTAGGAGTCTGGACCCCAAAACAACGAGCATGTTGAGGCATATACTCGTTTGGTTGCCAGGTCCTTACAAATCACCAGTATTGACATTCCCAATTAGTTTGGGGAAGGGTCGGCCCTGGCGGCAAAGAGCAAAATCCAAACAGCAAACGTTTATTGTGTGCAACCTCCGAATCTTTCCCAGAAAAGGCATGTGCTTGCTTGGATGGGTGACACTGTAACTTTTTGGGCTGTTTGCCAGAAATGTGGGGTGCCACATCTATTACCTCTACTGTTGGTACCTGTCACATTAATCCTGATCACTGTCACCAAAGGTCTCAGACTAGGAAGAAAGGTGGTGCTTGGTAATATTGAAAGTGATAAAATATCCCTGTCTCTGGTTTGGATAAAAAAAGAGCATGACTGTGTGCAAACCTTTGTTGAACACCTGGACAAAAACGACAAAGCATACCATCAACCAACAAAAGAACACAATAATAAACACAGGTGAGCTTCAATGTCAAGAAACACAATAGATTGTTCTCATATTCAATACAAAAACAATGGTATTCTTTTGTTGTGCTCAATTCCAATACCTAACACACACAAAAAGTACATGTATAAACAAAGGCACGTTCTTTGTGAAAGGAGTGGTTTTCTCTGTATAAACTATAATCAAGTGCATAACGTTATACAGCATCCTCTGATCTCTATTACATAAGAGATATGACCTGGTCATCTTGGCTCAGCTCCCCTTATCAGAAGGTGTTTTCCAATAGCTAGTTGGCTCATTTATCACAATTTGCCGGACTGACCAAAGAAGCTTCCCTATCAGCCCCTACTGTACTGTTTCCTACCAAACAAGTGCTAATGGGGGACCAAAATAATAACATGTGAACATGAGAAGCTCTGCCGGGGGCCTGTCTTTCAGCAAGCTTTATCAGCACACAGCTTTCCTTTGAAGCTCAGCCTTGAGTTCATCCCAGCTGTGTGGGGCAGTGGTGTTATAGCTGGCAATAGGTACAACCATCAAAATTCACTTCAAACACGAGGAAAGGACGCCACTGTGGATGGAACCAACCATATTTCCTGCAGGAAATCTTCGCTGTTTTTGTCTGGAATGAAGAAATGATCATGGACCATTCCATTTGGAGGGGGGGTTAACTTATTAGGATTTGAGACTTTTAGATAGTAATTGAACTGTCAGAAGTAGCAAATAGCATTGCCTGGCAAACTTCTTGATGCTTTTCATAGTTAAAGGTACTTTTTCATTGAAATAAATTCAGAAAATTAGAGTAAAAGCTCATTCATGTTGATAGAAAACATTATCAGTTTTGTCCTTTTACAGTCACACCGAACTTTAGGTAACATTTACATAACTAAGAAAAGTAATTGTTGGCACGCACCATTGAAGTTGTATGCTAAGAAGTAGGAAATTGGCTTGTAGACAAACACAACTCAAGTTTGTTGGCAAACATTTGTTACAATTAAAATTCATGAGCCATCAACTTTCGCACTTGATCAACATATCAGGTAACGGTTTACATAACACTTGCCAAAAATAACAGATAAATAATAATCACTATCTATTCCAAATCACTGTCAAAAACTGTGTTAGTCAACCATCATTCCCCCTTCTTGAAATTCAAACTTTTTCTCAGATTCCTACTGGTATAAAAATGTTTACAGCAGACCCCCCATCCCCCAAAGTAAACAAATTTCTTGTTGTCAATGTAATAATAGATAACGAGATAAAAATTGCAATTTTCCTGCTAAAAGACGGTTGTGCACAAGGTAAAGGAAAACGGGGCTGCTAGAAAACCTAAAGATTTCCTCTCCCAACATCTGCTTGGAGATTAGCTTCACCCTGTAAAAGCCATGTTACCCGATGACCCATTGAGGTCCGAGTCAAGCAGTCCCAACAAGTTCCAGACATCCGTACACCGGCAACCGAACCAAAAATAAACTATCATTGCATACACTGCAACTCAACACTGTTTCATGTGCTACTATATACGTCAAATCTACAAGGAAACGCATAAATCCATCAAGAACATGAAGTCAAACAACGAGAGGGGATCAGGCTCGGGCGGTCCCGTTATACGCGCTACATACCCCCGCACTGCTTTACTAAAATTCCTAAATATTTATACAACTTTCCGGAGGCTCAGTTGAACATATTTTTCTTGGACAGCTTGTCAGCGATGTCTGTAAGTGTGTGCAGGCAAGGACAGGGCGAGATCTCGGCTAGACTTACGTTTTCCTGTGCTAGGACGGGGGAGATGAGGAGTGGTAGCAGTAGTAGGACAGCGCGGCACGGGCCGACCGCCGCCGGACAAGAGGCCATCATCTCTCGGCGCGCGAGTGATCCTGGAAAGCGGAGCCAAGCACCGCGACACGGCGGTAAACTCACGACCTCCCCGATAAACCCACCGCAGCTAGTGGAAAACCTCGCGATCTGCTCAGATCTGCGGCCACATAAATCCAGGGAAAGCTCTATCCACGAGATCCACAGGAAAACTTGGAGAAGAAGTCGCGAGGATCCTCCACTGTGAAGTGCCCGAACTGATCGAGTGCAGAGGACTTCCCCACTTCTGCTCTTCCAGGAACCGCCGTCACCCCCTCGGAGTAGCGGTACTAGGATTTGTAAAATTGCTAACACAAAAATAACCTTCTATCTAAATAGTAGTTTCTCGACAAAAAACTAGTGATAATGAGAATATCATACGTTTTACCAGTTAATGATGCCTATAGTCAAATGTTAGCGTGTTTACATTGTGGAATAGTTGGCATTCTGACTAATATGTCGGGGGAGTGGAAAAGTACCGGGAAGAGCAGGAGCAAGAGTAATTTACCTTACAGGCATGTTATTGGCCGACCCGCGGGGATTTCGGCACCCATCAGTCCGAACCGAGAAGAAAGATGTCTCCAGGGAATAAAAGAATCCAAACATAAACTTTTTATGTCACAAAATGTGTGATATAATATAAGACAATGCATTCGCCATCCATTTTCATCGGACTCGGTACCCGTACTATCATACTATGACCACTACTGAGACAATAAACTTGAATGCCATGTTATTGTAATGTACCTCAATAAAAGTTGTTAGGAGATATGACACTTTGTGTAATGGAGTGTTTGTTCGTTACTTTCCGTTTCCAATAGACTATATCTTAAGTCTGCCTCTAGAAATCACATCAGAATTACTACTACTACTAATTCAAAAGCGGTAAATATTAAAGTCACTTTTGTGATCAAACCAATTAATTATCATCTTCTTTGTTTACTGATTCGCCCTTTGCCTCATCAGCAATTAATCTATGTACATTTTTACAGTGAGGTTAGGATATATGCGCTGTTATGACCTTGGTAGTAATCAAACTTATTCACAAGTTGGTTTTACCCTCGAAGTTAACATTGATAGGTTCTCTTTCGTTTGAAGTTATCCATGTCTCGGACCGCGCCATCCAGTAATTGTACATACTGTTTACAAGGAACACCGCGGGAGTAAACATCGTTCAAATTACCCAGGGAATTCTGGTAGGACTTTGTACTCCCCCAGGAAGACTGAGTTGGTTGGTTGGTTGGTTGGTTGGTTGGTTGGTTGGTTGGTTGGTTGGTTGGTTGGTTGGTTGGTTGGTTGGTTGGTTGGTTGGTTGGTTGGTTGGTTACTTGGTTGGTTACTTGGTTGGTTACTTGGTTGGTTACTTGATTGGTTACTTGATTGGTTACTTGGTTAAAAAGCTTGCCTCCTTATTTGCTTTTCCTAACCTCTTATCTAAAATTCTACGTCCTACCATGGAGGTCCTTTCTTTGGCTCGACAGAAGTAGCATTTTCATGTGACAAATGGAATTATGTCAAAGACCATCATCTCTTCCGGTGCCTTGTGGGCCAGAGGAAACCTGAATACGCCCCAGGTCATGATTTGATGGAAATAGTCAGTTTTTCAATTACATTTGACCTTGAACCACCACATGTGGCTTAATTCTGTCCATACGGAAATTCCGTGGCCTTCAGGCCTTGACAATGGCCTGGGATGCAAGTAAAAGGACACATAGGTGGCTAGGAAAGTTATCACCGGTAGATATTTGGTCTCAGAGACGGCGTCGCGTGTGCAAGGGTGCATGTTATGTCCGTCGGCGCCCCCCTGCCCCCTTGTTTGTATCAACAACACTTCAACAACCCCCTCAAACTATCTCGTTTCCTCGCTTACAAAAGCTCCAATTGTGTGTGGCAAGTTTGTCTGGTTTGAAACCTCCTCATCCCTTTACATGGCAAACACGCGGGCACAAAGGCACTGTATGTGGAAGAAATGGCGATGTCGTGTCGCCTCTCGAGAGCACGACACGCGTGGCACACAAAAGGTCGCTCTGCAAGCCTGCGGTTTAACATTGACACTGCCTTGACACCACAGAGTCTTTGTAGGGACCTACTAGCTATAGTGTAAAGACACAACTGACGCTCTTGTTACATCACATTCTTCATTTCATGTACAGAACTTTGCCCTGATCATGAGTGATCAGTTATTTAGGTATCATCTCACATCAGTCTGATGTAGAGAACTTCGAATTCCCTACAACCTCGGTTGGCAATGCGAACTGCATTCAGTTCAAGCAAGAATGTTTCTATACTTCCTTGGTTCAAGAGAGTAAATATGGCCTTTGCTGTAAAACGAGTGATTTTCCGAGAGAGAAAAACACGACCCTGCTAATCACCGTACTACTGTACTTGGGTTACTATGGTTACTTTCTTCTAGATGATATCCATTTTCTCACAGCAAGTGTCAAAACGGGTATCAATCAAAAGAGTGAAACGATTCCCCCCTCTCTAACCTACAGTCGACTTTTTAGATGAAAGCAGGGTGAAAGAGACTCCCACGGCTTCATCAGAACCCACAGTAGTGGGCCGAGGGTTACGTCATGTCTGGCGAGAACTGTTCATACTTGACACCAATAAAGTAAACACCTGTCGGCAGGTGTGAGACAATACACTTAGCGCTCCGGACACACCATTGCCACACGCTTGGGGAATGCACCATGCCATTCCTCCACAAATTAGAACTCATGAAGCATTTCCCGACGTCTCATTGCTACAAAGTATGAAAGAGAGATAAGAAGAAACTTCTTTGTGACGCGCTATCATTTTATGTCAACACGTGTGCAGCTAGCCGAGCGTCGCTCGCCAGGAAGTATGCATGGTATACACACGTATCGACCATCACAGATCAGGAAACCACTATTCTAGGTGACAATATCCTTATCGGTTATTGAGGATGTTTACCATAAATTACAGAGCCGACTATAACTTGCCACGAAAAACCGAGTTACCGCGAACAGGAAGAGTGTGTAATTCATGCGGTGAACCAGCACTTGGCGTCTTTTTAAAGAACTTAAAGCTATATGACGAACCGTCTCGGGTTTGTTTTGTAACGTCATGGCGTTTTCCTGTATGTGTCTGCTGTTCCTTTCAAACCTCCTTGCTGTAGCATACCGTACAGTCTGGACGACAGGAGGCGTAGGGCGTTTCTAGACGTGGTTATAAAGAGGCAGGAAATGATGTAAAGGGGGCAAAATGTGGAAATCACAGGGGAACATCAGGTCCTTCGGGGCACTGAGTGATATTCTACCGAGTATAGTACGTATTTATGAAATCGCATGCACACAGAGACACGTGTACGCACACACATGCACACACACAAGCACACACACAAACAAACACAAACACACACACACACACACACACACACACACACACACACACACACACACACAAACACACACACACACACACACACTACCACACTTCCACACTACCACGCACAAACAAACAACACACTCTAAAAGCAAACAGACAATGCCTTGACTTGTAGTCGGTATTACTTTAAAGCATAAACTATAGACCCAGGACCGTACTTTGCCAACTAATAATACATGTATCAGTCAGTAACCACTACGTGTTTAGTGCACTTCAGTCTGGGACCAGTCGGAATGTATTTGAGCCATACTATCCTTTGACATTGTGTTCTTTTGTGACTTGTGAAAGCGAACCCTGACACAAGAAAACAAAGCCTTTCCACAAGCTTTTCTAAGACTCTCTCAGGTATGCCGTGACACCTGCAGTGTTGATCTAGCTACCTTGTGTGTAACCAGCCAAGGATCAAGCGATAAAGCCAAGTATCTGTGACACAGGAGTGACTTCAAATCTCACGGTGGCTGGCCGTGGATGGGCGCTTTTGTGTGCCAAACAAAGGTGTGGGAGATAGGATCAGTCACGGTCACCGCTACATGCGGGGTGGTCTATACAGGTCTTTTATAGGAACACAATGGAGAAAAACATGGTTATTTCGAACGAGGTGGGCATGTGGGATTTCTTTTCTTCTTCTTTTTTCAATTACCGCACTTCAAGTTTCTTCCTCCGATGTTGGCTAAGTAAAAGGTATACTCTTAGTATTACATAAGAAAACTTTTTGGACCCATCTCCTGTTGATTGCTTGCGGTTACGAAGAGGTTCAGTGGATGTTGTGGATAATAATCTGTAACCCCAATAAAGTCAAGTTACGCCTACGGTTATGTTACAGAGACCCTCTCTGTGGTATTTGGGTTGCAAAGCTACACAAGCAAGCGAACTTTTTCCCAATACTCCCACCTACTTTCCCATAAGCGTGGGTCGATTCTGGTATTGAAAGAAACTGTGGGGTTATCAAAGAAAAGATAACAGTGAAAAGGCAACATTGAAAAGCTTCCGATGAAAACACCGTCTTTATTTTGTGACCTGTCTGCAATGATTGTCGCGACGATACGGTTGTCATGGCAACATGACGTGGTGGGGGAGTGTCGTCTGCACTGACAAACAGACCACCTGTTTTCGATAAAACGAACTGGAAATGGTCTAGATGTCTTAAAGTTCATTTAACGAGGTTATGTGCCCTTGAAAATGAATTTTTCAATCTTATGTTCAGTCCCATGTGCATCTGTATATGTGCACAGTTAAAACTGTCATTGCTGTCTATCCCAGAATATCACCTACAACGACCACTCTCATACATCACTTACGGAGACAGTGTTGGTGTATGTGTGTCATCCTTTATACATGTATTACAACAATTACTCTGCAGCGACTTTCCTTGTTAGTCTGAAATTAGATGCACTGAATCCGTTGTTGTCACCTGCGCCAACGGTATACGGAGAGAATATTCCTAAATAGCTCCAATCTTAATGCCCGGAGACAATATGCGGTTGACCTTCCCCTTTCGTTGGCTCAAAGAGTCAAAGGGGCACTTGTGGAATGGAACGGGGCTCTCTATAAACTGCTGGCGTCTTCGTGTTCTGACGTCAGCCCTCAGCCATCCAATAGGGGTTCCATATAAGACGAACGGGACGTGACACGCAATGTCACATGTGGATAGAGGAATCGTTTGGAATCCTTTATATAGTTTGGAATTACGGGATTTTGAAGACATACTCAAGTTTCAAGAATCTTCTCTTTCCAGTCGCTGAAGTCAAGACGTCTGCTTGAGATTTCAGAACCAGGTGTAAACTGCCAAGACGTCAGATGACACCTCGGTAGATTCGCCTTCGTCTTCTACTAGTGT